ATGCAGTATTTTTATTTGTAAGCACTTAAACTCGAGCAGAAACACGAATTTTACACATATGCAAAATAATTGAATCAGCAAGCACACAATTGGCTTATAATTGGCCTCTACCTGTGACTCATTTAAATAACCACAACATTTTCTGGATCAAAAACCCACAGTTAAGCCATCATTATGCAGGCTGTGAATGATAGCTGTGAAAATCAAAACAAAAGAAAATTACGAAGAAATCTGAGATGAAGTAAAACAAATGTTTGAATTAAGAAATTGGCATCCGAGTGTCTGCATGTCCCAGCGGACACTATAGCCACAACTGTTAGCAAGCGATGGCTATATCAAATTATTCAGATTTAAAAAAAAAAAAAAAAAAAAAAAAAGACCTGAATTGGACACAGCAGTTGACCATATTAAAAACTTTGGGAATCATTGACTTTTTGTGGAAGGAGGCCTAAAAAAACTTGTGTTATTTTTAAGAATCACATAAACAGCATTGCATGAAGTATGGGGTCAATGGGGTTGTGAAAAACTGTTTTCAATTTAAAGAAAACAACATTTTTACCATAAAGACTGGTGGTGTTGTAAAATCTGGGGTATCTTGTTACATGCTGTAGGATTAGTTCTGGTTCATCCTACACTGTAAAAAAAAATCTGTTTTTTTACTTTTTTTTTTTTCAGCAGCTGGGGTGCCGGAAAAAAACGTAAAATAACGGCTGTGACTGTAAGATAACGCTGTTAAATTACAGAAATTTACCACAAAATAACGGACTTTAAATTACAGAAATTTACCGTAAGATAATGGCTGTTAAATTACAGAAATGTATCGTAAAATAATAGACTTTAAATTACAAAATTTATTATAAGATATCGGCTGTTAAATTACAAAAATTTACTGTAAAATAACTATTGTTAAATTACAGAAATGTACCACAAGATAACAAACTTTAAATTACAGAAATTTACCGTAAAATAATGGCTATTAAATTATAGAAATTTACCGCAAATTAAAATTTCCGTTAAGTTTTTTTAATTTAATGTTTTGTAATTTTACGGTAAATTTCTGTGATTTTATGGCCATTATTTTACGTTGTCTTTCCAAACAATCTGTTATTAATTACTCACCCTCATGTTGTTCTAATCCTCTTAGACCTTTGTTCATCTTCAGAACTCAAATTAATATATTTTTGATAATATCTAAGAGCTCTCTGACCCTCAAAAGACAGCAAGAGTCCCGGGAGGTTCTAAAAGGAACCAAAAACTTGGTCAAAATAAAGCTTGAGTAGTTCAACTGTAGTCATACGAAGCTCCAAGAACACTTTTGTGCACCAAAACAAAACTGTAAAAACAACTATGTTTGTCAGTGTGATCTATATCAAATATCAAATGCTTGGCGCGGTGGCTCAGTGGTTAGCATTATGGCCTCACAGCAAGAAGGCTGCTGGTTCGAGTCCCAGCTGGGCCAGTTGCTGTTTCTTAGTGGAGTTTGCATGCTCTTCTTGTGTTTGTGCAGGTTTCCTCAAGTGCTCTGGTTTCCTCAAAAGTCCAAAGACGTGAATTGAGTTAAACAAAAATTGGTTGTAATGTAAGAGAGTGTGTGTGAATGCGAAAGTGTGTGAGTGTTTTCCAGTACTGGGTTGCAGCTGGAAGGGCATCGGCTGTGTAAAACATATGCTGGAATAGTTAGCGAATAGTTAACCCCTGATAAATAGGGGACTAAGCCGAAGGAAAATGAATGAATAAATAAGATGATTGGATGTTGCACTGCAAGTACATAAAATATCCCTCATGGACAAACAAAGATCTAGTTCAATCAGAAGTTGACAAGATTGCTCAAACAATCAGTACTTTGAAAAACCCAATGTTTACATTCTAGGAAGTCAAACCGCTAATAAATTTAGATAGCTGTCTGTAATGGGAGAGGAGACACCAGCAAACAAACAAATAAACAAATACTTTGAGTTTAAGTGCTTTGCAATAATATAATTACAGAAAATCCACTTAAAAAGAGCTTAAGTCCTACAGACTTGCAGGACTCAGTGAACCCTTCCAGTTTGGGTTCGAACACAATGAAGCTGATTCTTTCACGTTGTTTAAAGTGCTCCTTCACACTTAACAGCTGACGACATGCCTAAGAGCACTGTACAGAGATCAGTCAGGAATTACGTCACAGGTTATGAAAGGAAAACAGTGGGCATTTGTAAACACTAGCTCTCCCACTCAAAAATCACAGCTTTAGCCCTTTGTACATGATGATTTTCACAAAGAAGAAAACCTTTAATAGGTAGTTCACCGAAGAATGATCATTCTGTCATTAATTACTCGCCGTCATGTTGTTTCAAATCCTAAAACATTTTCATTCATCTGCAGAACACAAATGAAGATATTTGTAATGAGGTTTTGGTCCGTCCAGCTTACACAACTAGCATTTCAAGGCTCAGAAAGATAGCAAAGACATAAATGCGAGTCAAGTGGTTCAACGTTAATTTTAAGAGGCAACATAACACTTTTTGTGCAAGAAACCCCACCAAATTAATACAATTACCTAACAAATTCTTCATTTCCTCCCTAATCTCTGACCCAAGCTTAGGAGAGCAATAAAAAGAATATGTTTAGCATGTTTATTACAAATATCTTTATTTGTGTTGCGCACATTACTGAAAAGGTTTGGAATAATACGAGGAAGAATTTTCATTTTTGGATGAACCGCCTTAAAGTCCTGTTCACATCAAGAATAGTAACTATAACAATGCCTATACAGCTCTAAAAACTATTTGCCCACACAACAAATAGAAGGATAGATGTCAAAAACATGTTTATTCTAGCTAATGAACAATAAAAGATTTATAGCCAATCAGAATTAATCCTTTATTTGACCATATGCTTGATTATTGTGGATGTCAAGAAATCAGCCTGAGACTTTCCGGTGAACTGTGATGTCATTCTGTACTCGCTGTGTTTAAGGTCTGAGTTGTTGGAAATCAATGCCTGATTGAGTCAGTTTAAAGTGGGTCACACAACGAACAAGAAACACTGCATAAAATCGCATTGTGTTGTGTCAACATTTAAGATATGTATATTTATTTGACTGCAGTATTTTATATTGTACAAGACAGTTCAGTGCTCAAGTGTTGCTTCTCGTGGTGCTTTCAATTTACTTTTCATCTCGTTTAACTAAATGAATGCTTAGGTCTGTTTAACTGACCATATTCTGATTATAAACCAGATTATAAACCTGATCATAGAATAAAAAGTGCTGATAGTCACACATTCACCGGAAGTTTCACACCTTTAAGTTTAAAAACATTTTTTTTTTTTAATTTCTGACTCCAAAAGTTCTGAACAATCAGCGTAAAAATAATATTTGCTACTTGTTCAAATGACCTATCTATAATGAGCTGATTTAACAGAATTCTTAAGGTTCAATTGTTTTATGTTCAATCTACTTAAATTTGTAAAAAGAATTAAGTAAACTTAATCGATTTGTGTTAGGACAGCATGAAGCATTTGTGTGGAACCCAGCATTTTTACAGTGTGGTCTGATTTCTATTCAAATGATTCTATTAAGTCAAAAAGTTCTATTCCTAATATTTCATTCTTTTTGGTTAATCAAACAGATTCTGATTAATCAATATGTGACCTCAGACCACAAAACCAGTCAAAGGGGTAAACATCATGTAATAGCTGAATAAATAAGCTTTTCATTGAGGTGTGTATGGGTTGTATATGGCTTATAGTACATGTATATGACATACAACTACTTAAAAATCTAAAATCTGATGGTTCAAAATAATCAAAATACTGACAAGTTCTTAATAAAAATTGATAATCAAAAATTAAGTTTTGATATTTACAGTTGGGAATTTAAAAAATGTCTTCACGGAACTTTACTTAATATTGTACTGATATTTGACATAAAACAAAACTGTATCATTTGAACTCATACAATGTAAATTTGGCAACAAATATATAGACCATTTCAATGTGGTCATGTCATCGCCAACCTGATTTGACCAAGTAGGACATTAACATCCTGGAACAACATTCCAATCAGAATACTTAAAATGAAGGGATGTGTTTACCGTTTAGGCTTACGGTTAGGTTAATGCACTTCTACATGATTGTTATCCAACTATTATTCCCCTCTGATTTTGGGAATAATTTACAGTTTTGTTTGGGTTTAGGGGTAGGGAACAAGTATGGATTACATTTTGGAACAAAAATGATGTTCCAGAAACAACATAGATGTTAATCCAGGATCACCATGTCATTGACTCATGAACATTTCCTGCTTGTTGTCAATCTATTTCATAACTGTACCAAGAGGCAATTCAATAAATCAAAACAGCTGTCATGATATTGTTTATCAATATGTGGACCTTTTTGGATTCGCAGGAGCTATGGAAAATAAAACAATGTAAAACAAAATATGTTAGGACCATAGTTATTGTTTACATCCCTCAAAATGGTCTATTCATGCAACATAAGATTGATTACGGGGTCCAGAGTCACATATTTTTTTGTTAAATCCTAAAAAATAAATCATTCCTTAAGCGACAGATGTCACTGGCCCATGAACATTTGCTGATTGTTGTCAAACTAATCCATAACTGTAACAAGAGGTCATTTAATCATAACTCATTGCTAAAACAGCTATCATAACATTATTATCAATATGTGGACATTTTTGGATTCTCAAAACCCACAGAAAGTATTAAAATGTAAAACAGGAAATACGTTAGGACCCTTGTTGTTGTTTACATCCCTCAAAATGGTCTAATCATGCAACAGGATTAATTTTGGGGTCCAGAGTCAATTTTTTTTAATATCCTAAAAAAATAAGTCATTCTTTTTGAGCGACAGATGACAAAACTCAATGTGTGGGCGATAACATATTTAACGTTACAGTTATCATTTTTGACATGAACAAGACTTACCTCTCCTTTAATGCAAATGCTACAGCGACCTGCGAAAGGGAGGGCGGAAATTAGGAAGTGTTGAGGGTGTCGAATTAAGAGGACACTTTAATCACATGATTATAATACAAGAAACGAGGGAATGACAGAAAAAGCAAGAGAGATAATGAGTGACGGAATCAAAGAGCGATTATAAAATACCGCAATTTCTGAAAAGGGAAAGTCAGCATTCTAATAAAACCGTTTAAAAGCGCTTTTCCTGTAAATGAACTGCAGCTGGGTCGAGTGTTTCACAACGACATGCCGAAGCCTTGATGTCCTCCACTCCAAGGGTCATTTACTGCTCAGGAAATGAGTGGTCGAGGAGAAGCTCAATCCAGTGTATGCATGAGAGACGCTCGAGCTTCAACATCTTCTCAGTCTCTGTCAGTCACGCTTCCTTCTCCTTAAGTGTGCCCATTCACTCACAAAAGCTGAGCCTCTTTGTCTTTTTAAAAAGCGATTTAGCTCCTTTTCCTCCAGAAGGCTTTGGCCTTTGTGTAAAACTGCATGTGTATAGCGGAGGGGAGGCGATGCTCAATGTAAAACACATGGCTGTTGTGTGGCATCCGAGCACAGAGGGAAACAACATGATTTCTGTATGTAGAAATAATGCTGGTCATGCGGTTGGAGAATGAGTTTTCAGTTTAAGCGTTTCGATGATCCTCACAAAAATATAGAAAATAAGAGGTTCATATAGTAAGACTTGAGGCTGAGAAGAGGAAACATTCTTATCCTTGGCCAAAAAGTCGTGGTGCTTTATGTACATATGGGCATCAGTAGCGTTTCTGGATTTGAAGAAGAATTAATCACTGAAGACCCAGTGTTATGAAGATGATGATGGTGATGGTGAAGATGAAGGCTGCAGTAGGAACATGTGCTGCTCCAGGTATTGATGATCCACCGTGTGCGTCTGTGGCCAGTCTGGGGGTCAGGAGCAACTCGTGGAGGGTCAAGTCGTCAATTGCCAAGTTGTCCGCCAAATCTTAAAGACAAAGACAAAAAAAAAAACAAAGAGGGAAAGAAAAAAATTATATGGATGGACACAAAGAACATATTTACAATGTAATTTGGAAAAGTTCCATATAGATGAACCAGATAAATATTTAAATAATGAATCCAACTGTAGTCTGATGGCTTAATCAATGCTTCTTTTTATGATAATTATTTTTAAAGATTTAACAGTACCATCAGTTTACACATTTTAACATCCTTTTAACACCCCCTTTCACCTCCCCTCCCCATCAGCGGCAGTTGCAGTAATTAGATGTTGCTATCCTAAATCCAGTAAATACAGATATATAATATAAACTGAATAAATAAAAAAGCACACATAGAGAAAATATAACTAGTAAAAATAAATAAATAAATAAAATAATAATGCAATAATAATAATAATCAAATAAGATAAATATAACTGTGCGTCTCACCACAGTGACCTTATTCTTTTTACAAAAATGCCAAATAATATCCCCCTATATGTATTTTTTTCATATGCTGCCACCTTCCCCTATTCTGTAACCCATTCTTGAAATGATGGTGGACCTGCTGAATGCCATTCTCTCAAAATGATTTGTCTTCAATCATTATACTTATTTGAATTCACACCAGAACCCAACAAGTTAATGAATGTTACTTAAGGACTTTGCTCTTTTTAGTGAATCAAACACATTCTGAAGAATCCTTGTAGTCTGATTTCTAAATAAATGCCTCTAAAGAGCCTGTTCATATGATTAAATCAAAGACATACTGCAACCAAGTGTAGTTTAATTCCTAAATGAATGACTCTTTGAAGTCATGAATGAAGTCTTTCGGAAAAGTTCCATATAGATGACTGCCTCCTTATAATTCATTTATAGTTAGTGAATCAAATACATTTTAAATAATGAATCAAATACAATCTGAGCCCCTACTGAACAATCAATGTTGTCTGATTACTAAATGAATGACTCTAAAGAGTCTGTTCATATGATAAATCAAAGACATTTTGCATAACCAAGTGTAGTTTGATTCCTTAAAATCACTCTTAATGTTTTGGCTCTTTTTTAGTGAATCAAACCCATTTACAAAAATGTGTGAAGCCAGAATCCTGAACAAATTACTCTAGTGAGTCAATTCATTGAATAAATTAAAGACTTACATCACAAATAATTGCAGTCTGATTAGACAAATGACCCAGAGTCAGTCATTTGTATTGAATCAAATTATGTTAAGAAAATAATCTGCAACCTTAATTAACACAATCCGTAAAGTCAGTGTGATTCCTGAATGACTCTATTGAGCCTGTTATTTTTACTAAAGCAAACAAATGCAGTACAACAAGTACAGAATCCTAAACAAATGACTCTAACAAGTCAGTTATTTTAAGAGAATTAAACACACTTCAAACAATAAGTAGTAGTTTTGATTCCATAAATGAATAATTCTTATTAGCCTGTTTATTGTGATTTCTGAACAAATGAAGAAATCTAATTAGTGAATGACACATATCCTAAACACTCAGTAAACTGTCTGCTTTCTGAACTAACTAACTAACTAACTAACTAACTAACTAACTAACTAACTAACTAACTAACTAACTAACTAACTAACTAACTAACTAACTAAAGAATGAACTAAAGAACAAACAAACTAACTAACTAACTAACTAACTAACTAACTAACTAACTAACTAACTAACTAACTAACTAACTAACTAACTAACTAACTAACTAACTAAAAAATGAACTAAAGAACAAACAAACTAACTAACTAACTGACTGACTGACTGATTAACTGACTGACTAACTAACTAACTAACTAACTAACTAACTAACTAACTAACTAACTAACTAACTAACTAAAGAATGAACTAAAGAACAAACCAAATAACTAACTAACTGACTGACTGACTGACTGATTAACTGACTAACTAACTAACTAACTAACTAACTAACTAACTAACTAACTAACTAACTAACTAACTAACTAACTAACTAACTAACTAACTAACTAACTAAAGAACAAACTAACTAACTAACTAACTAACTAACTAAAGAATGAACTAAAGAACAAACCAAATAACTAACTAACCGACTGACTGACTGACTGATTAACTGACTAACTAACTAACTAACTAACTAACTAACTAACTAACTAACTAACTAACTAACTAACTAACTAACGAACTAACTAACGAACTAACTAACTAACTAACTAACTAACTAACTAACTAACTAACTAACTAACTAACTAACTAAAGAATGAACTAACTAACTAACTAAAGAATGAACTAAAGAACAAACAAACTAACTAACTAACTGACTGACTAACTAACAAACGAACGAAAAAACTAACTAACTAACTAACAAACAAACTAACTAACTAACTAACTAACTAACTAACTAACTAACTAACTAAAAAATGAACTAAAGAACAAACAAACTAACTAACTAACTGACTGACTGACTGATTAACTGACTAACTAACTAACTAACTAACTAACTAACTAACTAACTAACTAACTAACTAACTAACTAACTAACTAACTAACTAAAGAACAAACTAACTAACTAACTAACTAACTAACTAAAGAATGAACTAAAGAACAAACAAACTAACTAACTAACTGACTGACTGACTGACTGATTAACTGACTAACTAACTAACTAACTAACTAACTAACTAACTAACTAACTAACTAACTAACTAACTAACTAAAGTATGAACTAAAGAACTAACTAACTAACTAAAGAATGAACTAAAGAACAAACAAACTAACTAACTAACTGACTGACTAACTAACAAACAAACGAAAAAACTAACTAACAAACTAACTAACTAACTAACTAACTAACTAACTAACTAACTAAAGAATGAACTAACTAACTAACTAAAGAATGAACTAAAGAACAAACAAACTAACTAACTAACTGACTGACTAACTAACAAACGAACGAAAAAACTAACTAACTAACTAACAAACAAACTAACTAACTAACTAACTAACTAACTAACTAACTAAAAAATGAACTAAAGAACAAACAAACTAACTAACTAACTGACTGACTGACTGATTAACTGACTAACTAACTAACTAACTAACTAACTAACTAACTAACTAACTAACTAACTAACTAACTAACTAACTAACTAACTAAAGAACAAACTAACTAACTAACTAACTAACTAACTAAAGAATGAACTAAAGAACAAACAAACTAACTAACTAACTGACTGACTGACTGACTGATTAACTGACTAACTAACTAACTAACTAACTAACTAACTAACTAACTAACTAACTAACTAACTAAAGTATGAACTAAAGAACTAACTAACTAACTAAAGAATGAACTAAAGAACAAACAAACTAACTAACTAACTGACTGACTAACTAACAAACAAACGAAAAAACTAACTAACAAACTAACTAACTAACTAACAAACTAACTAACTAACTAACTGACTGACTGACTGACTGACTGATTAACTGACTAACTAACTAACTAACTAACTAACTAACTAACTAACTAACTAACTAACTAACTAACTAACTAACTAACTAACTAACTAACTAACTAACTAACTAACTAACTAACTAAAGTATGAACTAAAGAACTAACTAACTAACTAAAGAATGAACTAAAGAACAAACAAACTAACTAACTGACTGACTAACTAACAAATGAACGAAAAAACTAACTAACTAACTAACTAACTGACTAACTAACTAACTAACTAACTACTTAAAAAATGAGCTAAAGAACTAACTAACTAACTAACTAAAGAATGAACTAAAGAACAAACAAACTAACTAACTAACTGACTGACTGACTAACTAACTGACTAACTAGCTAACGAACGAACAAACAAACAAACAAACAAACAAACAAACAAACAAACAAACAAACAAACTAACTAACTAACTAACTAACTAACTAACTAACTAACTAACTAACTAACATCAAAATCATTAATCAATTCCTTTTTATTTGATCTGTTTTGTGTGTTTTCTGGAAAACAGTACTTGCTCAACTGCAGAATCTGTTTAAAATGTTCAACAATTATAATTATTATTATATATGAATCTACTTTTTTTCACATGTTCGCACCCCTTGATTATAACATGCACCTTTCCAGTTATTTTGGCGTCACATGTTCGCTTACTCAATCTGAAAATCTATACTTTCATTGTCTAATGAACCAGTTATTAGTTTTGTTCACGTCACTTGTCTTACTGTGGTAAGTCAGGAATAAGACAGCATTCCACCATTTAACAATACTTTTTCTTCAAGAAACTAAAACATCCGTTCGCTTATCTCAGAATCTACAGATGAGGTGTACTGTCTGGGAAGTCAGCCACGGAAGAGACAGAACTATGAGGTGAAAATGATGAAAAAGGAAAGAGGATATCAGTAATAAAGGCAAGCATGGAGAGGCATGCCAGCTATGTGTCCCCTGTGTAGTGTCCCTCTAAGCTGAGGAGAATCGTATTCGTTCAGCACATACACACACACAGACGAGCTATCACATGTATACACACATGCTCCTCTGCCTTATATAGCACATACCTCAAATTCCTGCTTTTAGACTGAAGGAACTCTACTAATCAGAAAACATATACAGAAAACAGAGACAATTTATGATTTAAACCCCATTCGCAACAATCATAAAAACTATTTTGACAATAATCCCAAATGATTTTGTCTCAGCTGATAACCAATAAATGCATTGGCAGCCAGTCAGAATCAATCTTCAATTAAAATGAAGAAATATAAGAAAACAGACTAAACAGAACAAATGCATAACAGAATGAGAGAAGTATTTTTAACCCACTGTATGTATACAGATGAAAAACACACCATAACTGAACATGTCAAGAGCAGCTTGTGTTTATAATATACTGATTACCTCAATCAGTTTGCTCAACACAGTACTTGTACATTTTGAAGACAGTTGGATCTCAGTTCACCTTTAAGGGCTCTATTTTAACAATCTAGGCTC